ATCGTCTTACAATTATTCACAATATCCGGTCATAGCTCCCGAAGTTTCGTGGTCTGTTAAGGCGAACACACCACCTCAAAGATCTTATAAGAAACTAGTCCACTGGACCAGACTATGGTGAGGCAGAAGGCCGCCTTCTGCTGATTCGGAGTAGCCTGTGTTTTGATACTAGTGTCCATCTTTTTGAAACCAAACAGCATTAGTTCAGCTTGTTGCTGCCAGTTACGGGATCAGATGAGGCTTACTTATTTATTAAAGGCATCGAGAACATCATTTAAACGCTAACACCGGTCCGGTTGACCCAAAGGAAGAATAGAATTCAAAAGTTTCCGTGTATAAATACCTGCTCAACTAGTCAACATAACGAATCGGTCGTCATCAGGCCAGAAATTCAGTTGTTCAAACTTTGGAAATTCACATGCACAAGGAATCGCGGAACGTGCGTCTCTGTATTTTGCGTCGCACCTAAAAAATTCTGTCAAATTTCCAGGATGTGCTGCTGTTCTTGTTGCAGTCAGCGCAGATTCATACACCTTCAGATTCAGCGCATCATTTTAACCTAGTGATGTATAGCGTCTGTTGGTAAGATGTTTGGAAGTTTTCCGGGTATTCTTTGAATTTCTTGTCTGCTTCTTCAAAGAACTCATGCAAAAGTTATCCTTAAGCAGCTGCTGCTTGTGCTGGCAATCCTATCCATGAAGTGAGATTTTGTCACCAGTTCTAAAGCTGGTATTTCTCTCACTGTAGCGGAACAACGCTCAGCGTCAGCGCGCTTTCCGAACATCATCAACACCAGCAACACCAGCTCCGTGCCAGGAAGAAACCGGCTCATTTTGGCCATTCGGCGCCGTCGCAGTTACTTCTTGCGTTTGCAGTATAACCAGGCCCACATAGAGCAATGAGTACATCGGCTTACTCCTGCGAAACCCATACAAGCACCGATCGTATCATCTGTGTCTCGCGCACACTGTGCACATCGAGCGTTGTTCAGATTCCTCCAGCTGGCACGCAGGTCCCATGCTGTCAGAGAACATGCACTACAACAGGCCTTGCGGTAATGAGCTTGATGTGGTAGGCTGACTCCATTTATGGACTCGAGAGACTGTGTGCACAAAGTCAGGTTTCACTGTTACTGTTGGGGTTGTTTCCTACTTGATGCTCAGGTTCTCGGGAGGCATGTTCAAATTGAGGTGATTTTGTGAAAAAATGGTGACTTTTCGGAATGGTCATATTTACAGAAAGTTGGGAAAACAATAGACAAGTTCTTCTAAGAAGCAATGAAACTACCTATCGAATTTCTGTGATCCGCCTTCAAACTAAATGTCAGGTATCTGGATTACTGGAAATAGTTTTTTGGCTCATCTTAAGAGAAATTATTTCGTCTGGCTGGATTATTTGGAAGTTATGGTACTTTCATCGAATGAATAGTACTTGAGACATGTATTTTGTCTTCTCCCAGCGTTAGTGGTAGATGGAGAATCCCAAAACTTACTGAAGACACACTTGCACACGCAACTTTTTTTACTTCCGCTGTAAAGATAACAATCCGGCAGTTGAGAGGATACACTTCTTTGCAAATTAAATTGATTTTGACTTGCAACCAAAGTAAGCCCCCCGTTTACGATATTCTTCGAATGTGTGTAGCACAAGGAACCTTCACGCATGAGTTGGCACGACATTCGAGGTATTACAGTATATTTTCTTGACTTAGTGGCTATTGATCCAAAGAAACTATAGAGACATCGCGCTTCTTACACAGTCTGAATAAGCTCTCTGCAGCCACTTTTTTGTACACTAGCCCATTTGCGTTCCTAGAACATTAGCCGTTTGGTTCATATATATGGATCCGCAGGTACAATTAGCATGATGAATCAAGTCTGACGTGGCTTGCAAGAGCGTTGGATCCTTCTTTAACGCCATTGAACAATAATTTATGGTAGACAAATTGACAAATTTTGTTTTTCAGCCAACTTAATCCCGACATCCATGCAGCTACTCCAACATACATCCGCCTTGCTTAGTTGTGCAACAGCGTTATAAGGCCAACCGATACACGTGAAATTTATCGGTGAATTGATTAGAGAGGCAATGCTTTAGTATTGCCTGATCTTCACATAGTTTTCATGCACACGTCTTCATCATTGTGGAAATGGATGCTGTTGAATGAGTGAACTGACAGCTAATTCAAGAGTTGTAAACAGTTTTCGATATTGACGTAACAACCACTCATAAATTTGCTGAAAACTCTTTGAAATTGCGTCTCTCGTTGTAATACTTAGGGGATTAGTCTTTGAAGTCGAATGAGGTTGCAATCTACCACCAAAATGCTACGGGAGTGTTGTAACATATGAACATTAACTTAAAGTAGACCATGTCCATGTTTACTATGTTAAAACGCAACAGATTGCGGACCTGGGCGGATATTTGGATGTAGGTTACACAAAAAATACAAATATTGAAAGAAATAGTTAAACTTCGTGCAAAGCAATGTATGAGCGCCCCTTGAATGTTTCTCGCCGACCAATACGTGTACATTATTTGAGAGAATGTTGAAGACCGGAATAGCTGCCTGTTTGATTCAGGTGTGCAAAAAACACTTTGAGCTAGGATACCAGATCAGATTGATTACTTTCCGTTTGCTGCTTGTACAATTTGCATTTTCACCGTGCACCTACTTAACTGAGGACATTATACTCTAAAACACCCCCTTAAAACCTCAGAACGAGGATCCTGAGTTTATTGACTGGTTCAATTATATTATCACCAAAACACGAGAAACGTATGCCAGTTTACGCCAATTTTGACGTCAGAATCAAAGAGCATTGACTTTACAAGCCGTATCCACCAAATAACCATGGAGGCGGCCCTACAGTATGGTTATGAAACGCAGCCCAGCTTACTTGAAGATCTGAGACATTCTCAGATTTTTCACCGCTACTGTCTTAGGAGTGTAAAACGCGCTAATCTGCCATAACACGTCAATAATTAAACTGTCCGTAGGCGAATGCTGGGTACTAAGTGGGATTTGCTAAAGTGCTAGGAATGGCTTATCAAATTACTTAGCTGAGGCGCGACCGCTGACCAACAAGGTTGCATTTTTCACTCCAAAGACTTGTTGACGAAAATTTTGCAGGGGATACACCATAATGTGGCAATAGAAAATGGAAACATTTACTGTCAGTCTGGATGCCGTGAAATCTTGTGATCCGAGTGATTTACCTTGCGTGCGGTTGGAGACTGTTCAAGACACGCAAGGCTCGTTCTCGATAGCGAGCTTTTTATCGCTTAGCCGGACTACCATGCTGCCTCTTGTCTATCGTTATGCAGTGGGTCTATTTTAATTTAGTTTGGCACAGCACATTAGGTCTATCTCGTTGATGGCTGTTTGTTCTAGAATGGTGTTTTTGGGACGTTCTTCCTATGGACATAGGTTTTTTTACAGGTAGCCCCAATTTCTCCTTTCTTGTCACTTCTTACTGTGCCCTTCTCCCCCCATGGTTGTGTGGCAGTTTTGCACCAGATTCTAATACTCTTGTGTTGTTGCCTTCAATGATTAGAGATATTTTTACCACCTAATCCTTATCCCGATTTACGTCTGCCTTGCTTTTTCGCAAATCGAGTGCTGCCCATCTACCCTGATAGCACATAGTCACTTTTTCTTGGTGCTAAGTTAATAAAAGTAGTTATTATCACATAAATTGCATATGGACAAGGTTCATGCATTCAGTCAATTGGAAAAGGTTTGACGTCGATTAGGAAGTCATTGTTTCAGAGGGGCTTTGTAAACAATAGGTATATTTATCTGGGCAAAGTCAATTGGAAAAGGTTTGACGTCGATTAGGAAGTCATTGTTTCAGAGGGGCTTTGTAAACAATAGGTATATTTGGCAAAGCAAAGTCTCGCTTTTGACATAAAAGCTTCATCAGGCCACATGTAAAAAGCCAAACATTGCCCAGTAGTAGAAATTAGCCGATTGTCTACCAAAGCCTTTTGAAAAGATTATTGTATATATCCAGAAATTGGTTGATCGATCTGTCCTCTCTCTTAGTGCCTTCTGATTGCATTACCTGTTGACTGAGGATAGGAGGATGACTCAACTCGATCAAATCTGTGAGTACGGACCAAACCAACTTTGGTGCATATTATGTTTATACGTTTATACCGCACTTGAGATGCCTGCAAAGAAATCATTCAACTAATACAATCCAAACCTAATCCTTGCATTTTTATTTACACCGTTGTTTAATCCGGAAGCAAACAACGGAGACCTGTGCAAGACTACTTTAAACCCTGCGAATCTACTGTCATCTTTCTTCACCAGCATGGTGGGTAACTTATAAACTCAATGGGGAATCACCATATTGGACAACGGCCATACATCTGTCATTAATAGCCTGGTTGTCACATCCAGAATGTCTCACGATTTCCAGCTTTACTCAACCAATATACATCAACAAGATGCTTAACGCGCATCAAAAACCCTACAAACCTATAACTTGTTCAACAAAGGCTTGAACAATTTAACTATCTTTAGGGCTTGGTTGGAATCCACAGTGAGATAAGAACCCACTTCTCCACGCAACAAATTGGGTGCACATGGGATAATGTGAAAAAGGATTAGTTATGCTAATGAACTCACATTTAGCGAACGAGTGCACACCAGGCCGGTTGAACAAACTTCAAGTAAAAACACCAAAAGTCCAATTACTATGGGGCTGAGAGAACAGGCGCTCAAAGAAGCGTGCTTACATTTTGCTGAAAGGGGGAGGATTCCGGAAAACATTAGTCAGGATAATTATGAAACTTGATGCACTGGTTGGGAAGAAAATCACCAGACGGGGAAACGGCCGTCATATTCCGTTTGTGAAGTAACCAAACGGAATCGAGTGATTGTTGGCGCAGAAAAATTTAATGGTTTGACCGACTTTCTGCTGGACAACAATTAACTTTAATGAGGACTATTCAACGTTATTGTGGATTGCTGTTTTTGTCTGCTCATGCTAGGCTTTTACGGAAGCAGATATTTGCGCAGCAATGTTGTGGAATGTAGGTAGCTCGGGTGCGCTGTTTGGTTGTTGGTCTGTTCGCCGAGCTTGGCAGTTGGATTGCAAACGTTTCATCACCAATCGAGGTGACATCATCAGTGTAGGGTTGAGTGGGTGAATTCCCCCTCTTCTGCCTCTGATTATATAGCTTCTAAACAGTATTTGGTAGTTCTGGAGACGGTCATCGTGTAGTTTGATTGGTCTTCTGTGAATCTCACGTGGTTTCAACCTCCTGTGTCTGGTTGGTTCGTTGGGTGCATTCAATTCGGCAGTTCTGTATGTGGTTGACGTGCTGGGATTCGGTCGTTTCCTTCTTGCTTTATTGGGTGGGTTTTACTCATTTGATTGGCCTTCTGTTTTTCGTGATTTTCTTCCTTTGACCCAATTACTCCGTTGGTTGCCGTTAGGTTTCTTAGCTCCGAGTTCCGTGACCGTGTGGTTCTTTCGCTCGTAACGGCTGATAGACTGGGGCAATGTCAGTCGGTACGAGCGAAAGAACCACACAGTCACGGGACTCGGAGCTAAGACACCTAACGGCAACCAACGGACTAATTGGGTCAAAGAAAGACAATCACGAAAAACAGAAGGCCAATCAAATGAGCAAAACCCACCCAACAAAGCAAGAAGGAAACGACCGAATCACAGCATGACAACCACATACAGAACTACCGAATTGAATGCACCCAACGAACCAACCAGACACAGGAGGTTGAAACCACGTGAGATTCACAGAAGACCAATCAAACTACACGATGACCGTCTCCAGAACTACCAAATACTGTTTAGAAGCTATATAATCAGAGGCAGAAGAGGGGGAATTCACCCACTCAACCCTACACTGATGATGTCACCTCGATTGGTGATGAAACGTTTGCAATCCAACTGCCAAGCTCGGCGAACAGACCAACAACCAAATTTACGCAGCCTCAAAAATTTATTTGCAGTGATTCTAGTAAAAAAAGACATACCGAGAGTGGTTTTCAGCCGACAGTCCTAAGTTCCGTCTCTTATTCTGGTGCTTAGACTTGACCCTCTTTTATGTAATTTTTGGCGAGGTCAAGCTGACGTTAGGCGCCGGTATCCACTTGCATATCTCTTGAAATATGCATTAGTCCAGTAACTTTCTACTGTGTCCGTTAGACTTCTATCCAGGACCAACCTGGTAGGAGAAACTCTACGGACGTTCAACGTGCATCAGCCAGTAAAGCTCAGTAGGTTAATGAGGTATGAAAACCATCGCCAAGCATAAAAACCTGTCATCTCAAGTTACATTATTCACAGATCTAACGGATAATTGCCAAGTCAGGGCACAAGATTCAAAAGCTGCCGCATCATTAAGCCACCATGAGAAACACATCTGGATCGGCCATCACTTGCGCGTTGAAAGCAAAACAACCAAACTAATAAAAAAGGACTGATTCTTTCGGTAATTCAGCGACTGTAAGTTTGCGCAGAATTCGGACGCATGCGGCTCTGTAAGACTGGTTATTTGGTTGTCATCAAAGTCACAAGCATATCTCATCATCATCATCATCATCATCGATAGCATGACATCAGTGTTCAACAACGACGCTTCACTGCCGTACACAAGCAAATCTTCAAAGTTCAAAAAGCGGAATGACATTAGTCCTGATCACCACTCTCCTACTACACCATCCTTCGGGTGTCTTTAGCAAAAAACCATATGTTTACTGGAATACATCCCATTTTGAATAGTAATGTAGTCGGATGGTACTTGGCAGCCTACGGGATGGTGGGGAAAAGTGTTGTATTGCGCCGGGCCCTAAGGAAAGTCCTAGATGATGCTGGTGCTTCCATGATGAGCCATCATATTGGCCAGCAACAGATCTTTACATGCATGGCTCCCGTTGTTATTTTCATGGATCTACGTGAGCATAGAGATCTTGCACGCCTTCTGCTTCGTTGCAGCTAATTGCGTTTAATCAACTGTGAGCATGCGTTTCCAGATCTGTCTGTAACACTAAACTAAGCTGACGGAACACGGAATGAAACATACGACTTGCGTCGGGTCACATATGCACCAGAGTGCAGGCCCGTACTCAGTGTAAACTAAGATCAGAATGCGGACAGAATGGGGGGTTCCAAAGCCACCAGTGTACATCATTGGTGGCCTATTATTACTGAATGATTGAACACTTGATATCTACAGTGTATACGATTAGTGGACTGGTGATCAGCACCGCTAATTAGTCTCTATCGTGGCACACATTTGGATAACTGGTGCTACTCATTCAGTAGCAAGTGTACAATGTTAGTCACAGCGGATCACTCATTATACCGGTATTCGTTTAACACTTTGGAATGCCCAAGAGTTACCGCGGGTAAGTTGCAGATGGGTGCACCAAATGCATTAACAAAATATAACAGAATTTACTAAAGCACAATTTGAACAATTCAATACAGCGTTCAACGCACACCAAATAGATTTGAGCTGGAGTTGAATATAACAACAAAAGGGTGCCTGACAATCCACACAACCTGTCAGAGGGTACCCCTTAGGTTAAGTCTATAGGGACAACCAAAAAGCTGGTACTCACAGAACATAGAAAGATCGTCTGGTGGTCCCCGCCGCTCATGAGAAGTGCCCCAGTCCCATAGCTTCGCCAGCTGGTACTGAATACACATATAGCCATGGTCACAGAAGGTCACAATTGGTAGCCTTAAAGACTGAGAACTCAGGAGTATCCAGGGCAAGAGGGCTGCGTTCTACAGCCTCCAAAGAAAACGGCCTAGCAGTCGCATTCAATGACGTCCGCTTCGAAATAACTTGGGCCGAATCCAGATTAAATACCTGTGGTGTCGTAGAGTTTGCCACGATTGGACATGATTACGTCCACGGGCAGAAAATCATTGAGACCCATCCAGGACTACTGCTGGGTTAGCGCTCATACATTTTGGTCTGCTTTGCTCTGAAATTCAATGTTTATGGAGTGTCGGTCTTAGCAAAGTCCCAGGCCTAGCTCTTTGCCTAGCTCTTTCCTTTCTTACCAAAGAATCTAATCTTCTGTAAGGATTCTGATTTTCCTTTTTCAGTCGATTATATAGGAGCTGTTTTGGGATTCTGTTCCCATCCATTAGCCAAACATTTCCTAACTACCGTGGAAGCTTCTGCCTCCCTTAAACTACAAGGTGCCCGTCGGAGCACCGTGTCCGGTACTCGTTCACTCATCAAGTATCCTACCTGGGCTGTGTATCTGGGGGCTTTCAATCGCCACACCTCGCGCCCGCATACCGTCAACGTTTCACCGCAGTACAAGAAGACTCGCCGCCCAATCTCGGACTGCAGGGCCCAGTTCTTCCACACTCGTTTACTGAATATGCCAATGGCCAAAATTACATACATATAAATATACATCTGAAAATACTTGAATATTTCAACTCCTACTCAATTGTTACAGATACGCAATAATATTCGACTTCACGTGATCGGTGAAACAATTTGTTGTGGCGCTTAGTCATTACTGAATATGTTGATTGCTATAAGGTATGATATATCTGTGTGACGGATTATGTTGCCAAAAAAATTTAACACACGCACTTCATCATGACGAGGATATCAAGGTAGACTTACCGAAAATCTGACGAACTCACAAAATTTTAGAGACACTAGAGTACTCGCTACTTTCAACAATGATCAGTTTATCTTTTTTGGGCTAGTTGAGGCATTGTGAAAGCTTTTAATCTTTTCAAAGTCGCCACATGTTTACTGTGACTGCGGTAGGTGTACGAATTCTCTCCCCCGGCACTTGTGTTAACCTAAACTGACAGCGACTACAGTGGTTAGCGAACAAGTCAGTTTATCGGTACAGCCATTAACTATGGGAAGTTGGTTGGACTATTCAAAATGATGAACACAGAAGACTTGCAGCTGCAGATGATGAGGCTGTGCGCCTAAGAAATGAAAATGTTTATTGAAACAATTTCACTTGAAAACCTCAACAAGGAAGGAGCTTTTGTGGTTTTTTATTTGGATTGCGCGCGTCAATCTTGTGAAATCCAAGAACTGTAGAGGTATTTGGTCGCATTCAGCGATAACACTCATAAGGCTGTATCAAAAAGGTGCCTTTGAAGGGTGGCCGGATAAGGTGGGTCGGTATCGTGTGGTGCCACCGTAGGGTGTCCCATAAGTGTCTTTTACTACCCCAGTTGCAAATTGTTCACTTCAGCCTGGCGGAGTGAATTAGTGCTGCTATCAACTAGGACCAAGTTTGTTTACCGCCTGAGGATATCTGACCGTCTGCTTTAGTCCAATCCATGCACCAGATTCAATTTCCTCACCCGTCCTCGGAAGAACACCTAGACATATGAGAGCGTACGAAACCGAAACCAACAACTTAATTCGGCGAACAACAATACCCTTATCCCTCATCTCATTCTCCACACTCCCACAGGCAACTTGGTAAATTGGTTCATTAATTGGCAGTTTATCAGCCGAATCAGCCATTGGGGGTAGGTAAATGACTAAATAGCTCAGGGCAAACTCCGTTTAACCAATCAGTTGATCAGATGGTTTGAGGAGCATTCCAGCAGCGCCAACACCAATACTAACGAGGATAATTAGTTGTTTACTCAATTAATCTCTCTCATTGCCTGTTGTTGATACTGATATTAGTGGTACTACCGTTAAGTGGCCTAAGTTAATAACAAGCTCAATTCGGCTAAGGAAATCTGTGGAGAACTAATACTCACAACCCCGCTGTTTTGAATAAACTAATTGTCGCAGGATAAGGTTAGACTACTTGAAACTCTGGTATCTTAGGTGAAGAAATTTTCCGGACTTCTTTAGTACTGTTGTTTTGTGGGTAAATATGCCTAATTCTGTAAGCAAGAAGATTTAAAACAGTATCACTGTACAAGCTAACTTCTATTCCAGGCGGCTTTTCGAGCCACTAGTTGGCACAGCCCTGGTCTGTAGAACGGAATGTCAGCAGTTCTATATCAACCCTATACGGAATCTTTGCTCAAAGTACGTGCACTTGAACCACTTTGTTAAGTTGTAGTAAGGAGGCAAAAAATAAATCCTAAAGAGAATGAGAGAGCCAGTAGTCGAGGTATAATACTAATCCACGAGATTTTACCCTTTTGGTTACCAGTAAAGGCTGTACAAAATGACATTTTGTTTCAAATGGGGTAGGGTAAATTAGAATGGAATATGGACATCTGCCAAAACAATCATCCTTAGATGAATAGAGAAAAGATGACAGTGCAGAATCATCTGGGCCAAAAGTTCAACCATATTTCATCATAATGAGCAGCTATTATAGCAGTGTATATATTGAATTTTTAGTGCCCAAAGACAGACCAAATGCAGAGATCAAAATACTAAAATTCAAGGGTTCATCCCGAAGACCACTACGTGTGACCTGTTAACGTTCCTCTTAAAAAGAGGCTGATGGAGTGTACAGGACCCACCACTGGCAAGCACTTGACATAGGTGGTCTCAGTAGCAAGGCAGAAGAAGGGTCCGAATATAGTATGTCATGATAATAGAAGTGACGTCATGTGGTGTGCATTGGACTGACGGAGAGTACACAGTGTTTTGAGCTATATTCGAAATACATCTCCTTTTCAGAAAGCAAACTGAGTTAGAGAAGGAGGTTTGAAAAAAACGGTGGTCAATTTTTTCCATTTGAATGTTTCAAGCACTTTTGATTTGAAAGCAGTACATTTCACAACGACGTCCTTCCTCTTAATAAGTTATGAACTCATAGGTAAGCATTCAGGTGAAATTCATGACTATATTGCTTATAAATTTTCGTTGCAGTTGAAAGCAAAACACGCTTACGACTGATTGAATATCCAGAGCATGTTTTGGGCCATTATATAATCCAAGCAATACAAAATTGTCTTCGTGAATTTATTTATATTCAGCGACCAAACGTATTCCCGTGGGGCAACCCTACTCCAAAGATGATTCTGAACACAATAAGGGCTGTCATTCATCATCGAATTATCCAGGTCTACAAATGAGATGCCACGTTTATTGTTAGTGTTCATGCCAAGGAAACTAGTGAAGTAGAATTCTACTGTCGTCGTTGGATACGCCACACTATCCATAACAACATGAAGCGTCGTCCGTTAGGAAGGGCTGTTTGGCACTCTGTAGCCGTTGTTCTGGTGTCATAAGTTAGCAAGCGGTGGCAAACAGTGAACTTTTTACAACCATTCTACACTTTAAACGCATCTTTTACTGTACCAACCAGAACGTCGAGATGACTTTTACCCTGAACGTTTTGATACTTATTGTGTAGAACTATTCTCAGGTACCCAAATAGATCATCCCACAAATAGGTGATTTTATTCCCACCATTGTAGTTACAGTCAACTACAATGGTAAACTCGATTAAAAAACAAAATCCTAACCTTTCTTGGACACTTTCAGTCATTTTGTGCTTCCAGGTAACTTAGGTCTGTCTTCTTCATAAAGACACGGCAATCTAGCTTAAAGTGAACCTGGTTTCAAAGGAAGATCTTGACATCTCACAATGTACGAATCTTAAAGCATTTTGGGACACACGAAGTGGAACTCTCTTCCAGTGAGCCAAAACTTCATCTTCAGAAAAAAACTGTTTCAAAGGCAACTTTCATGTGCGATGTGCATAACGAATTTCTGACCCGTAATGCTAGTTTTGTTTCATAGCCTGGGTAGATTACGCAGTAGAAGGAGATACTGAGGTTTCAGCTTCTGGGTAACAAGCGTATGACCAGTCTTCAAAATCCCGGTTCGGTAAACTCGGGTCTAAGTCACATAAATTGTCGTTTGTCTCTTATAGGAGTTTCCAGACATTACCACTTGATCTTTAACTTGCACTGGGGGGCTAGGAGATTGAAACACAAAAACTAATGCTCGCTGTTCGGGTCCTGTTCACATCAAAAGAGTTTTGTTTCATGTGGTGTCATGTTTTCACTCCATTGTTGACCGACAGTGTGACGTTACTGAGTCCACTCTGTGGTGTAGCTGAAACGCATTGCCATGAATTATCGAACAAGGCGTAGACAGGTTGCTTTAGCTAACTACGTGATATTGTCTAGAACCGCAGATATATCTCCGAAAAGCGTGTGTAACTTTCCAGTTAGGTTTACGTTTTTTCCCCAGTGTAGCCACGTCATTAGGCCACTTTTGAATTCCCGTAAAATGTTTCCAGCCAAGTTTGAACCATCGTACTTGACAGGTATTTTGATCCGATTGTTAGTCCATTGAACTCATCCAGTGGCGTATCAACTTACCTATACTCAACTTTACACGTGACTTGTGATTTGGCAATCAGTCGCTTATGAGCAACCTTTGGTCACACTTTCCTTTCTTTGTAAGTATAAAATTGCCACAAACATTGCCATTATAAAAGTTGTCCGTAAATTTGACGTCCTTACCAAACAGTCAGCAATATACCTAATGGGGAAAATGGGTACACGCTATTCCGTTCTCATTTCAGACTTTCACCTGGGGGGACCTTACGAGAGGTATGAGGTAAACTATTTCGGCAAATGATAATTCGGTTAACTGAAAGGTGCATTCGTACCCATACATTCACTCATGCGCTCGTGGAAAGGCATGCTGCCACGCAGCAATAAGTTGAGGGGGGCTCGAGGGGCAGTGGTCAGAAGGGAGTAATACGACTGACCGAATAAGAAAATGTTAATACACTCATAGTAAGTCTATGGAGAGATAAAATTTGAAATACATTAGTTAATGCGCTGTATCACCTTTAAAAAAACCGCGCTTTGTTAGACGGTGAGAAGCACGCCAATCTCAGAAGAATGGAACCATTATTTCAGAAAGTCCACCGTCACGGAAGCAACCTGAACGGCCTTTGAATCAAAGATGACACAAAACCCGATAGTCTAGACATTATCTCTCAACAAAATTCCCACGAAACTCACTTAGTTGCCATGTGCTCGTTTTAATCTTTCGCACATTGTTCCGGTAGGGTAAATGCGCAAGAGCAGTGCCATGTCACACTATATGAAAGAACCTATCGCATTCCTCAGTTCAAAAGTCATTATGGTGCTGATCCTGTAACAGAAAATGAAACTGAATATTAGGCGTTTCATAAAAAGACATGCTTATAATTTGGTCCGTCGGTGATCTCCCTATGAGAATAAAACACCTTCAGTAAAGTTTGTGGACGTTTTTTTGGTATACAGGTGTCAGCTCTTGTGGAAATGATACTGCTTCAATTGCAATCGCTTCTAGTCAGAAAATAGCAGATTAAACGTAAATGTAAGGCTTCATTTTTTCACCCAGTCTACTAAACCACAAGGGTTTCGAATACGAACATAGACTAGTTCAAAGGTTCCAGCTGCGGCTGAGCAGTTTATCGCCCTTCAGTTCATCACAACGCCACTTTATAGATCTTCGACTCGCCTGATTTTCAGTCCATCGAGTTTCAGTTCATCAGACCACGGATTTATAAGCCGAGTATTTTTGGGATCTTAGCCGTCTGATGACCCCAGTCGGCGGGTGGCGGGTAGTCTACTGACTGCCTTTTTGCATTTTTGACAAAACGGCCATAACGATGGTGTAAGGCAGCAGCCATATTTGGAAAGACCTAAATAATGGCGAAAATTTTTGTGGCATTTCAGTATAAAAACCGATGGTGTGTGCAATCTTTCAGATGCGTTCGGCAGGATTACCAAACCTTGAAACGAGAGCCTATCGCTGTCCTTGTCATTTAGCCAGTGCATATGACCGGCTCACAACACCCTGCGTCTTGAATCTGGTAGTTGTCAAATGGTACGGTTATGCTATACCTAAACACACCTTAATGCCCAAAATCTCATGAGAGCGCTCCTTTACAAATCAGACGCAGCGAAGCAACTTTTGGGGAATAAAACCAGATTAATTGGTGCATTAACAGTGGCAAAATGGCCATCACTCTGGTGTGGCCTGTGCTTCCTGTACTTGAAACGTGGAGTTGGAGACTGCAAATCTGTTGTTGGATTGGGGACATGGGCTCCCGTTCGGGGTTCCTTTGCTATCATACCAATCGTCGATGGCAGTGGTTTTGTGGTTTTGGTAGAAGGATTCATTTCTTCGGCCTTTAGGGGCATGATTAAATAGCATTTCGGATGCTTCCCCTTTGCATCTGTTCTATACAGAAAGCCTGGCACTTGAGTTTTCAGACCATTTTGAATACATAGGTGTGAAACATGGACCTAAATTCCTTTACTTGGCTTTTGTAAATAAGCGATACTAATAAAACGTTAATCTATTTATTTCCATACTTTATTGAAAAAGGCTTTTGTTGAGTTAGTTTTTTTAGTCATAATTCTCCGTGCTAGTGCGCCGAAAGGTTACCAGTGAATCACACAAATATTCTCAAGGTGAATGCGCTTTTTCATTAGATATTTTGAAGTGAGTTGTGCAAAGCCGAAAGTGGCGTAATGTGAAAGGACATAATCGAGTTATGAGAGTATCCAGTCACCTTGCCATGATACTGCCCCACTTCGGTACACTCCAACCAACAGACATCCGACCTTTTGAATCCCGGCTAGCGGAACTACTCTTTATGTCTCATTCTGGTATATTCGTTTGAGCATGGATCCCATTGTGTTCTTATTGAATATGTGCTATCTTAGCAACTGTCTATGGGTTATTCTCACCCAACTTTGACAATTTTCTTACAAGAGAGTCAGAAGACGGATGTTCTCTGTCAGTATTTTACCGGCCCACTCAGCGACATATCAATGTCCTGTTTCAAAAAACTCGCCGAAACACTGAAATGACAAAAAGACAAATTTCTGAACCTTGCGATGATGCACAGCTTTGTCACTGTCACGAAAACACCTTGTAATGTGCTCCTATGATACTCAATATCAGTTAGCGAGCTCATGGAATTCCAAGGATGACCTTTGCGGTAAACTGCCACCTCTGTAATGTACTACTAATAAGGTTGCTAAAAATCCGTCGACAGCCCACGACGGTTTTGGCCCTTCTTGGGGCTCATCAGGTAGGCGCAGTCCCCGGTTTTCCGTCAACCTTATGTTTTACTTGAAACCAAATTGCACGAAATTAGTGAATATATACTCATTTGCAAATTAATTTGGTTTTTCGGGAGACTCACCAGGAACCCAGCCGAATCTCTCGTTTGTGATGTTCTCAGGCAACTGAATGTGCTGCACCAGGCCGCCTCATGTTTCAGTTGCTACGATATTCAAGATACCGCGATACATGTATATCCTTGTAATGTACTACTCATAAGGTTGCTGAAAGTCCGTCAACAGCCCACGACGGTTTTCCAGATCAATACGGTTATCATTGAGAGAGAGAGAAAGAGTAGGAAAGCAGTTCAGAAAACTAACTAACAAATGTTCCACTACTTCTATGTTTCTCAACTAAATCACTAAAGGTTGGCAAGCTGCAAGCGGATCTTAACATCTCACACCAACTGAAGTTAAGTAAACTCCATTTTGTGAAACAATGATGTGAAATACCACCCAGAACCCAAATGAAGGTCACTGAATCACGGTTGAGTAAAATGAGTGTTCAGCGAAATGAAGGTCGAAGATTTTGTTCCGATGGGTTATATTTGATGACTTGAATAGAATTCGTTGATACAAATAGGCAGACTGAATCTCTTGACCCGACAGTTGTTAGGAGCTAGCAGGAAGCTGTGATTAGCAGTTAACCAAGATACAAGACGACCAAGCCCTAAGTTGTGTGTACGGAGTAAGGAATTTCATCGTCGGTTGAAATGGTTCCGAGGAAAAACCAGGAGATATTGGCAATTGCGTGGGATATAATTCCCTAGCACGTGAAACTATGTCATTTCTTCACCCGTGCCACCCGTTTAACCATGACCACCAAATAGTTTATCTTTGATTGCCCGTGTCAGATATCACTGCACGGTTTTGCTTGGTGAAAATGCGGTATTGCATTGAAATGTAAAGGAATCGATGGGTGATACTGCAAGTGCATTGTTTAGCACTTTTAAGGCAATTTTGATCACCACTTGGAAGTTAACAAGCGATATAAAGTAATGCAAATCGGTACTCGGTACTTCAACTTAATGTGATATTATAGCCTATTGGCCGATATTCATTTTGAATCATGGCACCGTATTTGAAAGAAGCAAAACCATCTCACTGAGTGCAAATAGGTTAATTTATTAAGATCTGTATACAGCTAGATGGTGTATCTATTTAGTCAGCAGCATCAGTCGAGATCAGAATGACCTTCCAATCTTATAGCAACAGCTGATAAGTCGGTTTTCGGTTTTACACCAAAGCATGATCGGATCATTGTACATCTCGTAAAATGCTTTGTTGCATAGTATACTTAAGTAGTCGCCGCTGTGGAAGACTATGTAACAGCATTACCTGCATCACAAATGTCAGTAGTACTTCCACGGGATTAGCACATATCGGACTCTTATTGGGCAGTCTTCTCTGATAGTGGTGATACATTAACATTTACGTCGGTCTTTGTCCAAACGGATTACCCCCGGAGGAGACCCGACCATCAAATTACAACACTAAGGATTAGTCCGTTGGACTGTCCGCTGACTAATAGGATCCATCTGGAAAGTCTGTCTTCGAGAAGAGTGTTTTCGGGTATTCAGTTAGGTAATATTCACAATACAGGTGTGTGTGTCATTATGTCTTGAGCCGCCAGCCAACTCACTGACAAGCCACTGAGCTGCGTTATGCGTAGGCTATTTTGTAATCTGCTGTGCTTTTATTTTCTAGGTATCTCAACCGCGTAATTGATGGATCAGCCGTGAACTGTGACATCCAACCTGTCACGGCCATCACCTCTATAAAATGCCTGACGACACGGCAAAGTTGATGAACTTTTCCGGGGATATCACTCCTCAGCTCCCTGTATTCTGCTTGAACCCAAATTGCACGAAATCCGACGTACACAATTATCTGCATGCTCCTCTGGTCTTCACGTGACACTCACTCGGAATCCAGCTGAACCTGTCAGTTATGATGTTCTTTCCAACTGAATGTGCAGCACCAGGCCGCCTCATGTTGTAGCAGTCATGGGCTGTCGAAGAATTTTCAGCAACCTTATGAGTAGTGCAGTGCGTCTATACGACGTATCTCGAATATCGTAACCCCTGAAACATGAGGCGGCCTAGTGCAGCACGTTCAATTGAGAAAAAACATCATAAACGATAGATTCAGCTGGGTTCCATGTGAGCCTCCTGTCAAAACCAAATTGGTATGCAAATGAATGTATAAGTCTAATTTCATTTATTTTACGTTAAAGTAGAATACAAGGTTATCGGGAACCCGAGAATTGCGCTTATCTGATTAGCCGAAAGAAGGGCAAAACCTGTCGTGAGATTTCGAAAAGTGCTCAGCAACCTTTAAAGTAATGTTTTATGTTTAAAACAACTGCATTTAAACCGGAGCGAACCAAATAACGTAGCAATTTGATATAATCTTGACAATCTGGTTGTGAGGTAGAAAATCCTATTTACAAGCTGTGATCTTTCTGTTTTCCTTTCCCATTTCTGCGTAAAATCAGATAGGTTTGATATCACAAAAATAGCAACAGAAATTCTAGATTTTCCACTATTTAGATGTTCACAATTGCGTTTGTCTCGATTCGGATGTTTTCAGACGATAACATCATATTCTCCTTAATTATTTGTACCATAGAGACGAGAGCATATTTCGTGTCGCACGTCCTTTCTAATTCGCTTTTCTGTTGCTACTCCCCCCGACCGGAACTCAAGTGTTTGCTCGTAGGCGATTGTGCTTTATGCCAGCACATAATTGGTCATTTCCCAATTGCAAGTTTGCAACTCGATCAGATTTGCTTGGTAATTACTCCAATTCTATTCCCCGGAAAACAGCTATTCATTCGTTATCTGGCCCTCGTGGGACATGGTCTGTTTATCCATGGACTCGAGAGGGTACATAGCACAATCGCTGTCGCACACCCATTGCCACAGTCCGCCAGTTTCTGTCTTATTAGGACAAGTGGGCAAACGCACGTGCGCACCCCGTTTGCTCAATTCATAGTTTAGAACATATGATAATTCTATTGCTACTGTTGTTATCCTTGTTAATGGTTCCGTTGAAAATGAATACGATGGAAAGCTTGGGAGGGGGTCGTAACTCTACCTTTCATCTGTTCAGCTGAAGGCGATGACAAGCAAAGGGAGGGTAAACGTGGGTTGTTGAAGATTAAGCTGATTAGGAATGAACTGGTTTCGATAATTAGCCTACATCTCCAGGCTACATAATACAAATTCCGAGATATATCCACAAAGCAAGGGGTGAGACAGAGGATACAAGACTTCCGGTGAACAGGGAAACTCGACAGGCCCCATAAACAAAATGATTAGTAATAAACATAAGCGGAACCAATCCGTAACAAAATTAGCTGGGTAAGACGTGTACAAATAAGACTCAGCGGTTGTCTGTAAATGTAGAAATGTATCGGCACCAGCCAACAGAACAACTTACCAATCAGCTTAGATTATCGAAAAGCTATGGTTACAGCCACTTGCTTTATTAAAAAAACAGACGTTTTTCTGCTGCTGTATTTTTAGATATTTTACAGCTGTTCTAATCATCAGTAGCAACATTCGTTATGAAGTTTAGTCGAGCGGATTTTGTGTTCATAGTCAGTGGTATGTGTATATAAGAACTAGTACTCGGTGTTGAATCTTAAGTTTCTTATTCAGCTATAGACTAGCTGACGAGTGGCATTACCTGCTGGGTAGAGAGAGCTTTAAAAGCCTGTCTTCCAATACACCTAATCTGACAACGTCAACTATGTGCAGGGACGCACTACACACTTCATACTTTTCTATCCTTTTTTGTATTTTGAACGGGAGGATTGTGAAGCCTGCAGATATCAACTTGAGATAAACCGCACGGTGAATTTCAGGACAACAGTGGAGTCCAGTGGATGGCGCTGATGGTATTCATCAACCAGCTACTCAATCTGCCCATTTGTTCACTCCAATATAGCCTTTCTCAAACCACTCCCGAACACATCCCCTTCCATCAAAACACGTTATGATCATTCCCAATACAACAAAATCTGTCAACTAACAGGATAACTGCTCACAAACAGCAGATATCACCAGTCGGCTACCATGACTATTTTATTCATGTTAGTGACGTAATCCAGAAGCGGTTAACCTGCAGTGATTTCCTGTGCCTTAGTGAAGGGATGCATTCATTCGCAAATCAAAATCATCATCGTCGAGACCATGACATCAGTGTTCGAAACCGATGCTTCACTGCCGTAGCAAATCAAAATACTTTTAACAAAAAACTTAGGTATATCTCTGGATTATGTTATAATACCAGTGTAACGGTGGTACTACTGATGGGGGAGGCATGCGAGTAGTATGTTTTCTTGTAATTTCGCTTTGCGTCTGTTGCGGAATTTGTGGAGTCACTTTGTATCATTTGCTCGGATTTAAGTAATGAATGATTGGAGTCAATGAATATCCAGGAAAGTTCAGGAAGACGCGTCCAAGAGAAGTTGGATGTTCAGTTTCTCGTAAAGAAGATGCATATGAGAGCTTTGCTTCCCTGCCCAATAGTCTGTAAGTGGTCAGTTGCCATTTTCTAATAAATAACTCTGCAACAAAGGCCTTCTCCCTTTCGCCGGCAGGGAGTTTTTATCAATTTTCCAAAAACCCAATTTTGCTAGGTTACGCAAGGAAACCAAATAAATTGCAAACATTCCGCAAACTAAGTCAGGGCGCGGCAGACACTCAGGTGACTAAAGGTTGGAATGAATAATATCGTCCAATTTACCAAGAGTTTAATGAGAATGGCTTCTAATCTACACTCACTGGGTTTGTTGCTTAGCATAGACAAGGAGAAAAAGACCTGACTTGCAGATCTACGGATGGGCGAACAAAGGAAAATGGGGTCAAGATCAGATTCTTTTCCACAACAAGCGGAACAAGTTATGTGCATTCCCATGCGAATATACCTCGCTTTATGTTGTGCACGAATGAGTGATAGTTTGTGGTCATTTTCTACCGGACTCTTGGGTTTCTGTCTCATATCAGTGAGGTACTTTATTGGCTGCGGTGCACCCATGTTTGGTAGCGACACGAAGAAGAACGTGGAGTTGTTGCATACTGTTGAGCAAGTGTGGTGTCTTAAGGAATATACTACTCACGTCAACGATTAAAGGTCCGATAGAATAACTTGCTGG